CCTGCTGGAAAGGCCGCAGCCCAGGCTTATTTTTTAAAATTTTTATTTATTTGTAAAAATTAAAATAAAATATACAATAAATAAAAAAAGTATTTAAAAGTTAATATAATTACAAGTTTCTTATCCTTTAATTATTGGATTAATTTCTACATTTTTTTCCTTATCTTACATATTTTCATTATTTGTTTAGTATTAAAGTTGAAATAAATTAAAATAAAATATTTTGGTGGCCAAAATTTTTTTTAAATTTTTTTTTTATGGTGGCTTGATTTGTTTTCTTTGAGTTATGATTGAAAATTTGTGAAAGAAAATGTTACTTTAAAAAAAAACCCCATTATGACTCCTCGAACATGGGTGATGTTTCCTCCTGCCAAATGGAAATGGGCTTAACAAGCTACTATAAGGGGGCGCACCTCCCTTAAGGCTGGCCAGCATGGCCAGGCCACAGGCCAATCCTATGCCTAGACGCGCTCTTGGCATATGTCATTGCTTGTTTTTTGGCATTGAAACTCCATAGCCAAGCATGGGATGTTGTCGAGTGGCGGCCCGCGGGGGTGGTGGTGGCCTTGCCCAGCATGCCATGCCATAGCCTTGGCCAGAAGCATGCCATGCCTCGGCCTTGGCCAGCATGCCATGCTACGGCCTTGGCCAATAGCATGGTATGCCACAACCTTAGCCAGCATGCCATGCCACATGGCCTTGGCCAGATGCATGTCATGCGACGACATTAGCCAGCAGCATGGCATGCCACGACCTTGGCCAGCAACATGCCATGCCACGGCCTTGTCTAGAAGCATGCCATACCACGGCCTTGGCCAACAGTATGCCATGCCACGGGCCTGGCCAGAAGCATGCCATGCCACCGCCTTGGCTAGAAGCATGCCATGCCACCGCCTTAGCCAGTAGCATGGCATGCCACAACCTTGGCCAGAAGCATGGCATGCTGCGACCTTCGCTAGCAGCATGGCATGCCATGTCCCTCAGGTAATTGCCATTAGGTTGGCTTTGTCTTACGTACAAGTTGCCTTGCGAAATGCATGTCCCTCAAAATTTTGGCATTTGGTTGGCTTTGACTTATGAACGAGTTGCCTGTGCTTTCCCAGTGGATGCTTGTTGCGAAAAGTATGTCCCTCGGTAGTTGCCTGTTGCCTTAGTTATTTGCATTCGCACTAACCGGTGCTTGCTCGGCTTCTGTAAATGTTTTTGCATGTTCGTCGGGCTTTTTAGTCCTTCCGGGTGTGATTCATTTTGGTGCATAGTGTAGGTCGTGGCGCGTGAGTTGTGATTGGTTTGTGCGAGTTGGATAGATCCCTGCCTGTGTGGCGAACTCCACTGGTGCATTCCTCTTGACCCTCAGCTAATTGCCATTAGGTTGTCTTTGACTTGCCTACAAGTTGCCTGCCCTTCCCTAGTGGAAGATGCTTTGCGAAAAGCATGTCCCTCGGGTAATTGCCATTTGGTTGGCTTTGCCTTGCGAAATTCCTATCCCTCGGCCTTGGCTATGCCACGGCCATGGCTTGCTTGCCATGCCAAAGCCATGGCCAGCATGCCATGCCACAGCCTTGTCTAGCATGCCATCGTATGCCACAGCTAGTAGATTGCATGCCACGGCCTTGGCCAGCATGCCGTGCCACCGCCTTGGCAAGCATGCCATGCCACCGCCTTGGCTTTATGTCATGCGTACGGCCTTGGCAGCTTGTCTTGTGGGCGGCCTTGGTGGCCTGTCCTGCTTGCGTCGTTGTCAGCATGCCAGCCTAGGATGTGGGCGGCCTTGGTAGTCTGGCTTGCCTTGTTCCTTTCGAAAAGTATGTTCCTCAGGTAAAATCCATTTGGTTGGCTTGGACTTTTGCCTACAAGTTGCTTGCCCTTCCTTTGCGAAAGTTGCCTTGTGAGAAGTATGTCCCTCGGGTAATTGGCATTAGGTTAGCTTTCACTTACGTACAAGTTGCGTTGTGTAATGCATGTCCCTTGAGTCATTGCCATTTGGTTGGCTTTGACTTACAAATGAGTTGCTTGTGCATTCTAACTGGAAGCTTGTTGCGACAAGTTTGTCCCTCGGAAGTTGCCTGTTGCTCTTGTTATTTGCATTCGTGCTAACCGGTGCTTGCTCGGCTTCTCGAAATGTTTTCGCACGTTCGTCGCGCTTCTTAGTCCTTCGGGATGTGATTCATTTTGGGGGGCTGGTGCGTGGTGTATGTCGTGGCGCGTGAGTTGTGACTGGTTTGTGCGAGTTGGATGGATCCCTGCCTTTACAGCGAACTCCACTGGTGCATTCCTTGCCAGTAGCATGGCATGCCAACACCTTGGCTAGCAGCATGGCATGCCATGGCCTTGTCCAGTAGCATGGCATGCCATGGCCTTGGCCAACAACATAGCATGCCACAGCCCTGGCAAGCATGCCTTGTCCCTCGGGTAATTGCCATTAGGTTTGGCTTTGACTTACGTACAAGTTGCCTTGCGAAATGCATGTCCCTTAGGTAATTGCCACTTCGCAAAGTGGGCTTAAAACTCGCATTTGACAAATTGTTCCAATTAAAGTAATAAAGCCTTCATCTACAGGCATTCATGCAGTTTAACATTTAAGCAAATAGCCTTATGGCAAGCATGCTAACATGGCAATCACTTACACTCATGCAAGAATGCCAAAGCATAAACACTTGCAGTGTACTCCAAGCCAAAACAAAAGACTAGTTAGAAATAATGCATGATCCTAACTATGTTAATGATGCGTAATGCAACACGTGCAATAATGCAACTAAACAGGCTCGGCTATCTAAGATGGCATATGAATGCGACTTGATAACATGCTTTAAAACACGTATTCAAGTAAGTGCTGAAATAAAATGCAGTTTGAATGACGTGCCAAGCCTGGTGCGTGCAATACAAATGAATGATGCAAACATGCAAGCATAAGGTATGCTAATTGAAATATGACCCGAAGCTAACCATCGAAAGTGGTTAAATAAAAGGGAGAAAGACGTAGGGTTGGAAGACATGCACACAAGCACGCACCCTTATTACAACATTGTGCCCTCTCAACGGAGGGTCCGAATGAATAAACTGAGCTAATCTTAGCTGAGCTAATCTTAGCTAAGCTAATCAACTAATCTAATTAAACTAATTAGACTAATTATTACATAACTAATCAAATAACTAGTAAACTACTTACTAATTATTACAACACTTTAACTAATTATCAAACTAATTAATTAAATTACAGATTCATGCCAACTAACAAGTAAAGCTTTAAACTATGCTGCCTCAGCTCTGTTTGAAGAAGTAGAAGATGCATGCTCGGTTTTCGCCCTGAAAAGCTCTCTGATTTGCTCTCGAGAGGCTCTGTTTGCAGGGTCACTCCAAGAACTTCCTGCTAAACCTTACCAAACCAATGCTGAGGAGTGCACCAGTGGCCTTCTAGCCATGAATGGTTGCCGCCGGCCATCTGTCGGCCAGAGATGTGCACTGTTGGCCATGGATGAAGCAGTGAAGCACTGCCGGCCATTAGTGTGCGGGATCACCATTCTGCAACAGAGCTCAAACAGAGAAAAAAGGAGGGTCTCCCAAGGACATGTGTGTACCGTACTCCTCCTTATCATCTCAAAACATCAAAGGAGTGGCACTCTTGGATCCAAGACCACCAATCAAGCATCTCAATGCATGATGGCCAAAGATCTAACTTGTACATATTCAATAAATGCACAAAAACAAGACTCTAAGTACCATCACCCTATCATGCATGATCAAGGGTGATTGAGACAAAGGAGATTGGCTCATTTCATCACTATTGAGTACGAAATGGACCAATCTACCTTGTACGACCCGATCGGATGTGGAACGGCAACTAGCCGGTCCGCCGATCGACTTGGGGCGTGGACCAGTGCGGATTGAGGCGGAGGCAAAAGCCTACGTAGATGCCTTCGCCTCGATCGTGGCTGGCAGCGCGTGCCCCCGGGCGTTGCTTCGGTATCTACGCACTCCCGGTGCCGGCCTGCGAGCTCCCCATTCAGCCCATCTTGAAACACGAACCAAGGAGTCTGACATGTGTGCGAGTCAACAGGTGAGTAAACTCGTAAGGCGCAAGGAAGCTGATTGACGGGATCGTCTCGCGGGTTGCACCATCGACCGACCTTGATCTTCTGAGAAGGGTTCGAGTGTGAGCATGTTTGTCGGGACCCAAAAGATGGTTTCTACCTACCCAAGTAACAACCAACCATCCATCTCTCAATCTCTTTGTCAATTGTTGGGCTAAAAGATGGGTTTTGTGTGATTTTTTTTTGTTTTTGGATTATGGGTATTTTAAAATATTCTTCAATCTAAACTATAAATGATCCTTCTTATTAATCTTTTAGGTATAAATTATGTTCTAAAAAAATACCTACAATTAATAGGTTTGTTTATGTTTTAAATATTCCCAATTTTTTTGGGTATAAATTCTATTTTTCTTTTTGATAATTCCTGAACAGTAGTGTATGCAAGTTTATAAATTTTAATTAAACAAACATCCATGGTTTATGTATGAACTTCTTGATATTGACTTTTGGATATGCTATTTAATGTTGTGTTCTTTTTTGAGATTTTAGTTTCATGGTTTATATATGAACTTTTCTTTAATGTTGTAACTTTTTGTTTTGTGTCCAATGCTTTTAAGTTTTTTTTTTTTGGGGTTTTGGCTATGGTTATTTTATTTTTTGTATAAGTCTCTTTGATTGTAAGTGTTTTATGTTTTTCTATTGATTGATTATTATTGTCAATGGTAGGATTGAATTCAGTTAATGGAGGAATTCATAAAGGACTTCAACGTTGAAAGGGGTAGTGGAGCTTACAGGGACTTCATTAAGGACTTGCGCGTTGAATTGGGAGAGACCTTTTCACACAATATTCCTATATTTCCCGCTCAGCAAGATCCACCTACTCGATGGCTCGATATCATACTGTGAACCAACAATCGTTGGATTAGGCAGAGGATTCGACGGGACAACCTCTACTTGGACGCCTACCAAATGGAGAATTCTGAGTGGTTGGAGTTCGGGCGTACTTCTCTTACTTCTCCGCATCTAATTCCCGGATCCAGTTTCTTTGGTTACAATGGCGCCTACAATGCACTGGAATGTGCTTCTGGACAAGGTATGAACAACATAGCCCTTGGTTGGATCACACTCACTAATGCCGTAAATGGTCTGGCTACCTCCATGATCTCCTCTGTAAATCGCGAAAGGTCACTGATCATCGTGATTCAAATGATCTACGAATCGATTAGATTCGCCCGTATCTCTGACCTTCTTACTGCCACGTTCAGCAACAACAGTTCTTCGCCACTTCCTGATTAGATGTCGGCACTAGTGCGTGGCTGGGGACTCCTTTCTACCACATTGCTGCAAGCCGATGCTGATCACACTACTTTCTTCTGAATTTCATAACCCAACGATATGAATATCGTGTCCGCTCTGGACGTGGTTTCCACATTTGGCATCTTGCTCAGAAGCGTCTATGAATCATCATCATCAAACCCAAACGCCAAACCCCAAACCAAAACTCTAACCCCTAAAACCAAAAGCGCTAACCGCTAACCCCTAACCCTTAACCCCCAACCCTAACTCTAAGCCCTAAACCCTAACCCCCAAACCCTAATAGACCCTAGCCCCTAAACCCCAACAGACCCTAGACCCAAGACACTAAACCCTAATAGACCCTAAACCCTAATAGATCCATCTCAAAACATCAAAGGAGTGGCACTCTTGGATCCAAGACCACCAATCAAGCATCTCAATGCATGATGGCCAAAGATCTAACTTGTACATATTCAATAAATGCACAAAAACAAGACTCTAAGTACCATCACCCTATCATGCATGATCAAGGGTGATTGAGACAAAGGAGATTGGCTCATTTCATCACTATTGAGTACGAAATGGACCAATCTACCTTGTACGACCCGATCGGATGTGGAACGGCAACTAGCCGGTCCGCCGATCGACTTGGGGCGTGGACCAGTGCGGATTGAGGCGGAGGCAAAAGCCTACGTAGATGCCTTCGCCTCGATCGTGGCTGGCAGCGCGTGCCCCCGGGCGTTGCTTCGGTATCTACGCACTCCCGGTGCCGGCCTGCGAGCTCCCCATTCAGCCCGGGTAATTGGCATTAGGTTAGCTTTCACTTACGTACAAGTTGCGTTGTGTAATGCATGTCCCTTGAGTCATTGTTGTTTATGGTTTAGGGTTTAGGGTTAGGGGGTTAGGGGGTTTGGGGTTGGATCTATTAGGGTTTGGGGTCTATTAGGGTTTAGTGTCTTGGGTCTAGGGTCTGTTGGGGTTTAGGGGCTAGGGTCTATTAGGGTTTGGGGGTTAGGGTTATTGCTTAGAGTTAGGGGTTGGGGGTTAGCGATTTTGGTTTTAGGGGTTAGGGTTTTGGTTTTGGGTTTGGGGTTTGGGGTTTGGGGTTTGGGTTTGATGATGATAATTCCTAGATGCTTCTGAGCAAGATGCCAAGTGCAGCAACCGCGTCCAGAGCGGACATGACATTCATATCGTTGGGTTGCGAAGGTCGGAAGAAAGCAGCGTGATTAGCATCGGCTAGCAGCAATGTGGTAGAGAGGAGTCCCCAGCTACGGACTAGTGCCAGCATCCAATTAGGAGGTGGCGAAGAACTATTGTTGCTGAACGTGGCAGCGAGAAGGTCAGAGATATGGGTGAATCTAATCGATTCGCAGATCATTTGAATCATGATGATCAGTGACCTTGCGCGATTTGCAGAGGAGATCAGGGAGGTAGCCAGTCCATTTATGGCATTAGTGAGTGCGATCCGGCCAAGGGCTATGTTGTTCATACCTTGTCCGGAAACATGTTCCAGGGCATTGTAGCCACCATCGTAACCCAAGAAACTGGATCTGGGAATTCGATGCGGAGAAGTAAGAGAGAAGTACGCCCGAACTTCAACCACTAAGAATTCTCCATTTGGTAGGCGTCCAAGTAGAGGTTGCCCCGTCGAATTCTCAGCCTAATCCAATGATTGTTGGTTCGCTGTATGATGTCGAACCATAGAGTGGGTGGATCCTGTTGAGCGGGAAGTACATGAATATTGTGTGAAAAGGTCTCTCTCAATTCAACGCGCAAGTCCTTAATGAAGTCCCTGTAAGCTCCACTACCCCTTTCAACGATGAACTTCTTCGCGAATTCCGCCATTAACTGAATTCAATCCTTCCATTGGCAATAATAATCAATCAATAGAAAAACATAAAACACGTACAATCTAAGAGATTTATATAAAAAATAAAATAACCATAGCCAAAATTCAAAAAAAAAATAAAAATTAAAAGCACTGGACACAAAACAAAAAGTTACAACATTAAAGAAAAGTTCATATATAAACAATGAAACTAAAATCTCAAAAAGGAACACAATATTAAATAGCATATCCAAAAGTCAATATCAAGAAGTTCATACATAAACCATGGATGTTTTTTTTAATTAAAATTTATAAACTTGCATACACTACTATTCAGGAATTACCAAAAAGAAAAATAGAATTTATACCCAAACAATTGAGAATATTTAAAACATAAACAAACCTATTAATTGTAGGTATTTTTTTAGAACATAATTTATACCTAAAAGATTAATAAGAAGGATAATTTATAGTTTAGATTGAAGAATATTTAAAAATACCCATAATTTGAAAAAAAAAAATCACACAAAACCCATCATTTTGCCCAACAATTGAGAGAGAAATTGGGAGATGGATGGTTAGTTGTTACTTGGGTGGGTAGAAATCATCTTTCGAGTCCCGACAGGCATGCTCACACTCGAACCCTTCTTAGAAGATCAAGGTCGGTCGACGGTGAAACCCACAAGGGGATCCCATCAATCAGCTTCCTTGCGCCTTACGAGTTTACTCACCCGTTGACTCACACACACGTCAGACTCCTTGGTCCGTGTTTGAAGACGGGCTGAATGGGGAGCTCGCAGGCCAGCGCCGGGAGTGCGCAGATGCCGAAGCAACGCCCGAGGGCACACGATGCCAGCCACAATTGAGGCGAAGGCGTCTCCGTAGGCTTTTTGACTGCCCGGGCTTTGGCCTCCGCCCCAATCTGCACTGGTCCACACCCCGAGTCGATCGATGGACTGGCTAGTCACCGTTCCACATCCGACTGGGGCGCATCGCCAGCCCCTATCCGCTTCTCTCCCGACAATTTTAAGCACTCTCTAACTCTCTATTCAAAGTCCTTTTCATCTTTCCCTCGCGGTTCTTGTTTGCTATCGGTCTCTCGCTTGTATTTAGCCTTGGACGAAATTTACTGCTCGATAAGGCTGCATTCCCAAACAACCCGACTCACAGACAGCACCTCTCGGTGCGACAAGGTCCGGGCATGACAGGGCTCTCACCCTCTCCGGTGCCCCTTTCCAAGGGACTTGGGCCCGGTCTGTCATTGAGGACGCTTCTCTAGGCTACAATTCGAACAACAGGGCCATGCTACCGACACGGCAACATGAGGACAGCATGGAACACAGGAGATACTTTGGGGTTAACCCAGCGCCACGAGGTGGTGAGACGAATATAGGCACACGATTCAGACCGAATTCTTTTTCCTTAGGTAGGCAACATAAGAACCCACGCGAGGTAGACGGTAAAATTTTGTCTTCAAGCACGAATGAAGAGGAATGCACCAGTGGAGGTTGCTGCACAGGCAGGGATCCATCAAACTCGCGCAAACCAGTCACAACTCATGCGCCACGACGTACACTATGCACCAGCCCCCCAAAAGGAATCACACCCTGAAGGACTAAGAAGCTCGACAAACGTGCAAAAACATTTAGAGAAGCCGAGTAAGCACTGGTTAGCGCGAATGCAAATAATAAAGGCAACAGGAAACTTCCAAGGGACATACTTGTCGCAACAAGCTTTCACTTGGAATGCACAAGCAACTCGTTCGTAAGTCAAAGCCATCCAAATGGCAATGACTAGAGGGACATGCGTTACGCAATGCAACTTGTACGTGAGTCAAAGCCAACCTAATGCCAATTACCTGAGGGACATGCTTCTTATAAGGCAACTTCTGCAAAGGAAAGGCAGGCAACTTGTAAGCAAAAGTCCAATCCAATCAAATGGATTTTACCCGAGGAACATAGTTTTAGAAAGGAACAAGGCAAGCCAGGCTGCTAAGGCCGCCCACAGGCTAAGCTGGCATGCTGACAAGGATACAAGCAGGACAGGCTACCAAAGCCGCCCGTGAGACAAGCTACCAAGGCCGTGTGCATGACATAAAGCCAAGGCAGTGGCATCGCATGCTTGCCAAGGTGATGGCACGACATGCTAGCCAAGGCCGTAGCATGCCATGCTACTGGCCGTGGCATGCCATGGCATGCTGGACAAGGCTGTGGAATGGCATGGCATGCTGGCCATGGCTTTAGCATGACAAGCAAGCCATCGCCGTGGCATGGCCAAGGCCGAGGGACAGGAATTTCGTAAGGCAAAGCCAACCAAATGGTAATTACCCGAGGGACATGCTTTTCGCAAGGCATCTTCCACTAGGGAAGGGCAGGCAACTTGTAGGCAAGTCAAAGACAACCAAATGGCGATTACCCGAGGGACAAGAGGAATGCACCAGTGGAGTTCTGTTACACATGCAGGGACCCATCCAACTCGTACAAACCAATCACAACTCAAGTGCCACGACGTACACTATATACCAGCCCCCCAAAACGAATCACACCCCGAAGGACTAAGAAGCCCGACGAACGTGCGAAAACATTTAGAGAAGCCGAGCAAGCACCGGTTAGCGCGAACGCAAATAACAAAGGCAACAGGCAACTACTGAGGGATATACTTTTCGTAACAAGCATCCACTAGGAAAGCACAGGCAACTCGTTCATAAGTCAAAGCCAACCAAATGGAAAACTTATGAGGGACATGCATTTCGGAAGGCAACTTGTACGTAAGACAAAGCCAACCTAATGACAAGTACCCGAGGGGCATGGTATGCCATGCTGCTGGCCAAGGCCGTGGCATGCCATTCTTTTGGCCAAGGTTGTGGCATGCCATGTTGCTGGCCAAGGCCGTGGCATGCCATGCTTCTGGCCAAGGCGGGGTGGCATGGCATACTTCTAGCTAAGCCCGTGGCATGGCATGCTGCTAGCCAAGGCCATGGTATGGCATGCTTCTGGCCAAGCCCGTGGCATGGCATGCTGCTGGCCGAGGCTATGGCATGCCATGTTGCTGGCCTATGCCATCGCATGCCATGTATTTGGCCAAGGCCGAGTGGCATGGCGTGCTGGCTAAGGTCGTGGCATACCATGCTGCTGGCCAAGGCTGTGGCATGGCATGCTGGCCAAGGTCGAGGCATGGAATGCTGCTGGCCAAGGTTGTGGCATGGCATGCTGGGCGAGGCCACCGCCACCACCGTGGGCCGCCACTCGATAACATCCTATGCTTAGCTATGGAGTTTCAATGCCAGAAGACAAGCAATGGCATATGCCAAGCATGCGCCTAGGCATAGGCTTGGACCACTATGTATCAGGGGCTCCAGACATTTTGATTCCTCACTTTCAAAGCATGTAGTTTGTGGAGCTGGGATCAACCATGCTAGTTACTTTAGAAATATTGGTGGTTTTGGGGTGATTTTTGTCTTTACTCCAACCTAAACTTGTCTCAAAATGCCAATTTGTTTGGTAACCAATTTTCTAATCCTGGAAGTTCTGCAAAAACCGTTATTTGAAATGAGAGATCCCTGGATAACTGTAGGTCAAAGAATATCTCAAAACCTGGCATGCGCTTCCTCTTCACGTTCAGCCACGGCTCTGGGAAGCCACAAAATGGAAAGTCCTCCCCCTCCCGGACGAAGCGTCTGTTTAGGGTCCCCTGAATGGGTCGGTGCATTAGCTCAAAAGGCTTCCCCTCCTTTTTTGCTCTGGCTCTCCCAGCCATCTCCTTACCTTTTCTTACCCAATCCTCTTTGGTGGGCAGATAACCCAAGCCAAAGGTATGTGGGTTGTGTGGCACTTCGGCCAATGCTGCGACGCCCTTCCGGCCGCTCTTTCCCAATCCCATCCCGGGGATGTGTTGGAGCTTGTTCATGAGGTATATTGATTGAGCATTGGCATACACTCCCTCATTAACAGCCATAATGTTCTGCATGACTCGGGCCTCAGCCAGGGTAAAACCCGATATGAACAGATCCTCCATACCGTGCTTAATTTCCAAAACTGGCGTAGATACTTCCGGCGGTGGATGGATCGACTAATTTCCAAAAACAATGGCTACTCCCTTCCCATGGGGGTATTTCACCATTTGATGCAAGGTGGATGAAACTGCCTTCACTTGGTGCAACCACGACCTCTCTAAAAGCATATTAAAAGTCGTAGGAACTTCTAAGACATGGAAGTCTATCTCATGTTGTCCCAGCCCAACCTTGGTCTGAATTTTTATTGTCCCCATGACTTCTCTGCTCGTGTTGTCATACGCCCGAATCACCTGGGCAGTCGGTACAAAGTTTGCGTTCTTTAAACCAATTGCATACGCTGTCCTTGCCGGGCAGACGTTGATGGCGGACCCTGTGTCGATAAGCACCACGGGTATCCATTTGTTTCTATACTCCACAGAGATGTAGAGTGGCCTATTATGGTTCGTACCCTCAGGTGGCAACTCTTTGTCAGAGAAAGTCAACATTAGGGTATCTCCTCTCAGAAAAACTAAGCCCACCAACTGTTCGGGCGTGGTGTCAATTGAGAGCTTGGTCTTGTCCATAGCCGATAAGACAGCTTGTTGATGCACTCGTGATGCCATAAGCAGTCCCTAGATGGAGATGTCTGCCTGTATCTTTTTCAACTGCTTTAGTACAACCTCTTCTTCGATTTGCTTCTTTTTCTGTTTCTCAGCCTCCTTATCCTTCCCAGATGCCTCTGGCTGGTTTAGGTGCGGGGGCTTGAAATACTGCCCGCTCCTTGTCATATGATTTACTTCGCCGATGTACCAGGTATCGTCGGGTTGATTGCTCCCCCAATCCTCATCCGTGTGGGCAAGACATAAGTCATCGTCTTCCCACCACATTCCGTCGGTAGCCGACAGACACCTATCCGGCTCCGGTATGATTGTACTCACAATACTTTTCGTCCACATGCTCGCAGTATTCTCTGTCCTCGTGCACACAACACTTTCAGTCCCCACTGGGGCCTTAGCTTTCCTGATT